CATTGGTGTTTTCCATGAACGCACTGTGAATGCTCATAAATGCCTGAAGAGATTAGATCAATCTGGAATTCTGCATCAGGAAAGTGCTAGTGATTTGGGGACTGTGCAACCTTATGACCCCTTGAAGCTAAAAATCTCTCTGATTCATCATTTTCCTGATTGATCATTTTCCAGGGAGGCTGCCTCCACCAGGAGGCACCCCTTTTTGTGGGGGGGGAGGGGGGGTTGCCTCCCTCATGTGGCTAAGAGGTATACCTCTTTTGAAAAGCAGCTTTTAGGGGTGCCTGGGTGGCTCTGTTGTTAAGCATCTGCCTTCGGCTCAGGTCATGATCCCAGGGTCCTGGGATTGAGCCCTGCATCGGGCTCCCTGCTCAGCGGGAGGCCTGCTTCTCCCTCTCCCACTCCCCCTGCTTGTGTTCCTGCTGTCGCTGTGTCTCTCTCTGTCAAATAAATAAAATCTTTTAAAAAAAAGAAAAGCAACTTTTAGCTTCTATTGGGTTCTTGTCAAAGCTGAACACCTGATGGGGCTGAAAAACATGCCCGTAGAGACCCTGTGACGGTTATCTTGGGGGCGGGCGGGGGGTAGGTTAATTCAGACCCAACAACACATAATGTGGGAAAGGGCCTGAGAAGCCTCACTTATCTGATGGAGATGGTATATTTAAGTCTACAGCTACCTGGCCTCGGTGGCATTTTCAGCTTTACGTGAAGAAAAGGCAGCTTTCCCTTTGGGGGAAAGGTTATCCTCCACTGCAGAGCTGAAGCAAAGCCACTTGCTCAGTGGGATTCTCGATCCACACAGGTTGCCCTAAATGCCTGGGCCGGGCTCTCTGACGGTCTGGCTCTGCTGAAACCCCTGATGTCCCCCGGGGCCTCTGTGGCTGGTCAGCGTTGGTGCCAGCTACGTGGAATGGAAAACAGATGTGCTCACTCCTCTCAGTGGGCAGAACTCAAAGCCATCCTCACAGCTCCAGCCAGTACTCCCTGATGAAGCTTGTTACATTTTTACTGCTTCTTGGGCTGTTGACAATGGCCTAGCTGTTTCGTCTGCCACTTGGAAAACTACAGACTGGCAGATTCTTCCCTCTTTGGGGTCATGGACCATGGAAACAAATCACGGCTGCTGACGGAGCTATTTGGGTCTCTCGGGTAGGTGCTCATGGTGAGGGTCCATCCTCTGAGACCGACCAGGACCAAGCTGCAGATGAAGCTTGCACTGTCCACACAGCCACATCCGCTGCCTGGACCCGTGACTGAAGCAGACACGCAGCACAGCCCCCAGCATAGACTGGGCCCTGAGTAAAGACTCTGTATTTCAGATGCACCAGCCGTTACTGCATGCCAGGCCAGCGACTCATAATAAAAGTTGAACTGTTTGTCTCTTGGAGAGGGAGGCCCATTGCACAGGGCGAGGCAGTTGAGTCCATCGAACATTTGATCCCCTCCTGGGGCTACTGGTGGTGGCTCACCACTGTTGATCATTTTTCAGGTTGCAATCTTGCTGCAGTGTTGACTCTGGCTAGCTCCTTGTAGCCCTTGAAACTGATACTTGTTATATTTCTGGCTTTTCAGACATTTGCAGTCTGACCACGATGCACCTTTGATCGCAGTGGGCTCTCAAGCTACTCAAGGTGTTTGACGGCCCTCTGTATTATCCACATCCACAGGCGTCTGGGATTGTGGAGCATTGGAATTGATTCTTCAAAAATCAACTCAAAATGATTTCTGATCCTACCTCCATCACCTCCTCCTGGTTGGGGCATATTAGTAAGGCAGTGTGGTCACTAAATTTGACTGTTTTAGAAAGCAATCATTTCTTCTTGGCCACTCCCTGGTACTAATCAGGTGAAAGGTGGGATGTTCTACAGACCTATTTTAAGAATTTGAGATTCCCTGATGCACATGATGTTTCTTTCTTCTGAAGGCAATCCCAGCAGACCTGGTAGCTTCACCCTCTGGTGGCTGCCCAGCCAAAACAGGCCCAGGGGAAGGGGATTCAAGTTTAATGCTGATAATCAAGATTTTGGAATATTGTTATACAGTTTGTTAACATTCACACTATAAAGGAATATCAAGTGTGACAATCTGATTTTGAATTCCCCTCCAAGAATTTTTGCCCCAAACTAAACAATTTTGTGTGAGACCCACAGTTCCCAAACCATATCATGCACGCCAGGGTGCTGCAGCAGTAAGCCCATGGACCACCAGAGAATATTTTAAATGTTCAAGGGAGGGGCGCCTGAGTGGCTCAGTCAGTTAAGCAACTGCCTTTGGCTCCTATCATGATCCCAGGGTCCTGGGATCGAGTCCCACATCAGGCTCCCTGCTTACGGGGGAGCCTGCTTCTTCTTCTGCCTGCCACTCCCCCTGTTTGTGTGCACGCACATACACACTCTCTCTCTCTCTCGACAAATAAATAAATAAAATCTTTTTTAAAAATTTATAAAAATAAATGTTCAAGGGAAGCACAGTGATACTCAACATCCGTGGGAAACTGTGTGAACCACTAGTATAAGGTAGATCGTGGTTCCAACATTGGATTATTATCCAATTAACAATGTCATATCTTTGCACAGTTGGGTTTCCTACAGTTGCTGTGATAAAAAGCACGTATTGTGTGAATATCAGTGTGGAACAGGCAATGAGCATCCAATCTGATGCCAAGGTTTGAAAACTCGTACAGCTCCCAGCACATCCCATTAGCACGTAATTATGGTTACTTAAAAATAGAATAAAAGTATTATTTTTCTTTCAATTTATATGTATTATTTTTTCAAATGGCTACAAAGTGGTGACAACATAAATATATATTAAGATATATGCCTGGGTGGCTCAGTCAGTTAAGCGTCTGCCTTCAGCTCAGGTCATGATCCCAGGGTCCTGGGATCAAGCCCCACATCTGGCTCCCTGCTCCGCGGGAAGCCTGCTTCTCCCTCTCCCACTCCCCCTGCTTGTGTTCCCTCTCTCACTGTGTCTCTATCTGTCAAATAAATAAATAAATAAATCTTAAAAAAAAAAAAAGATATATGGACCTGGGGCGCCTGGGTGGCTCAGTCATTAAGCGTCTGCCTTCGGCTCAGGTCATGATCCCACGGTCCTGGGATCGAGCCCCACATCGAGCTCCTTGCTCGGTGGGAAGCCTGCTTCTCCCTCTCCCGCTCCCCTTGCTTGTGTTCCTGCTCTCGCTCCCTCTCTCTCTGTCAAATAAATAAATAAAATCTTTAAAAAAAAAAGATATTTGGACCTGACAAATTAATAATGGGATTTTTAGGTGTTTCTTTTGTCCTGAGTTGCTGTGAAAGAAATTACTCAGACACTAGGAACACAACTGATTAAATTTTATAAAAATACCCTTGTCCCTCTTATATCTGATCCTTCTGGACAAATGGTCTGGGTGTGACAAATAGTAAGTTTGTAGTTACTGGAATGGAACACAGTGGGAGGAGCATAATGAATTAGGCACCAGGGAGGAACCACTTCGGTCCCCTGGAAGGGGTGGGAGAGGGTAGGACGTTAATAAGTCTTCCAGAACTGCCTCTAGAGCTTCCCCACAAAGGAAAGCACCCTGCTCCTCTCCACCTGTTGCAAGCCCTTGACACTGAACTGACTGCTCACCTGGCCTTCTGTTCGATCACCATTCTCTTTAATCTTAGCCAGGGTCTATCAGAAAAAGCAGAAGCCAGTCCTATCTCTGCCCCTTCCACACAAAACACCCATCAGCACCTCTGGATCTCATCATCACTCCCCTATCCATTGATCAGTCATTCCATGGGTGGATGGATGAATGCCACTTGGCTGGTAGTATGGACAGGTAGAGGACGGTGAACTGACTGCCCCCTAGCAGTCCCTCAAAAAAAAAAAGGGCTAAGCTCTTTGAACACCACTAAGAACCCTAAGGATTACAATCCTTCTGGGAGGCCACATTGGAGATGTTGTCAGGCTGTACCCCTGACTGAGGTAGGGTCCTACTTGGGGGACCCAGCAGTTGTAAATCTTCTTTTTTTTTTTTCCAGGAGCACCGTAAACACCTTTGGTACATGGAAGCCAAGTGTTAACTTGTCTGCTTCCCCAAATCATGGTGACTTGCACTTAATGGTGAGTAATGAGAGACCATAAGAACACCACCAGTAGGGGTGCCTGGGTGGCTCAGTCATTAAGCATCTGTCTTTGGCTCAGGTCATGATCCCAGGGTCCTGGGATCGAGCCCCACATCGGGCTCCCTGCTCAGGCAGGAAGCCTGCTTCTCCCTCTCCCACTCCCCCTGCTTGTGTTCCTGCTCTTGCTATCTCTCTCTCTGTCAAATAAATAAATAAAATCTTAAAAAAAAAAAAAAAAGAGCACCATCGGTAGATCACATAGCTCTTAGACAACTGCAGAGATCTCTTCAAAATGAGGCTGTCCTTTATGACTTGGAGATAACTAGCTTGTTATTCATGTGCAGTCTGTGGGGAGTTCTCTTCATGATAGGAGTTGTCCTATTAGAAAAAGTACTATGAAATTTGTCCCTGAATTTAGCTGAAGTGATCAATGACAGCACCTTGACTCTGGAAGGTATTCAGATCAGAACCCTTTCTTTCCAGTTCTTGACAAAAATTCTTTTAGAAGAGCACATGCTACATAATAAACTCTATATGAATATTTGTTAAACAACAAGCACATAAAACCAATAAAGCCTGTGATCTGTGTTATTCAAATCTTCCCTAACCTTACTGATTTTTTTGGTTTGCTTGATTAATCAATTACTAGGAGGTGTATGTTGTCAACTTCCAGTTTGTCAGTGGATTTTTCCATTTCTCTTTGTATTCATCATTTTTTGTTTTACATATCTTGATGCTATGTTATTAGATGCATATAACTTTAGAATGGTTAAAATTTCTTGAATCCTCCATTATTTTTTTTTGCCCATAATCAAAACTTTATTGAAAAAATGACAGCAAATAGATCACTGTTGTAAACCATACAAAATTAAACATAATTACATTATCTTGGTAGATTAACTGGAATTACTAAACTCATAAGGCTTTCTGTGATATAACACAAATTCAAGAGGTCGTGTGGATCATTAGCGTTGCTTTCTTCTAAATAAACACCCCTCTGTGAGTCTGGCCTTTCCTCCTGTTGGCTGGCACAACACTGTTGAACAGCCTACACAAAGAACCGCCGTCTGAGCATGGCTGAAAACCGTGGTAACCTTGTAACAACCTGGACATTTTACATCCAAAAAATAGGAATTTGGGCTCTGAACTAGCTGTTTCTTTTTGTGTTTTTTCTTTTCCTCTTCCAAGGATGGGTGTAGTAAATCTCTAGCCAAAGGCATATTGATCCTTTCGCAATCCCAGCCAGTCCCGATCTCTGAATCCTCCATCATTATTAATTGACTCATTTTTTCCTTAATAATACTTTTACTTTAAAGTTATTTTGTCAGGGCGCCTGGGTGGCTCAGTTGGTTAAGCGACTGCCTTCGGCTCAGGTCATGATCCTGGAGTCCCGGGATCGAGTCCCGCATCAGGCTCCCTGCTCGGCAGGGGGTCTGCTTCTCCCTCTGACCCTCCCCCCTCTCATGTGCTCTCTCTCATTCTCTCTCTCTCAAATAAATATAAATAAATAAATAAAGTTATTTTGTCAGAAATTGATACAGCAGCACGAGCTTCTTTTTTCTTTTCTTTTCTTAGCATTTGACTTTCAACCTTTCTCTATTATTATGTTTTACGTCTATCTCTATCTAATTAAATGTCATATCATTGGATTTTGTTTTTAAAATCTAGCCTGACAATTCTTGCCTTTTACTTGGAAAGTTTGGTCCATTTATATTTATCATAATTACTAATACTGTTCGATTTATTTCTACCACTTAATTCGTGCTTTCTCTTTGTCCAGATTTTTCTGTGATTTATTGTTCTTCTTTCTTGACTTTTTGTTTGGATTGATTGACTTTTTTCTAATTTTTCCTCATACTGATTGAAAATATATGCATTTTATTTCTTTAAATGTTTCTTAAAATAGGACTACCACATGATCCATATGATCCAGCAATTCCATATACATACATATATATTATTCAGCCATAAAAAAGAAGTAAGTCCTGCCATTTGCGACGACATGGATGGAACTGGAAGGTATTATGCTAAGTGAAATAAGTCAGACAGAGAAAGACAAATACCATATGATCTCACTTACATGTGTAATCTAAAAAACAAACAAAGGGTGCCTGGGTGGCTCAGTTGGTTAAGTGTCTGCCTTCAGGTCATGGCTCAGGTCATGATACCAGGGTCCTGGAATCGAGCCCCACGTTGGGCTCCCCACTCAGTGGGAAGGCTGCTTCTCCTTCTGCCTGCTGCTACCCCTGCTTGTGTTCCGTCTCTCTCTCTCTCTCTCTCTCTCTCTCTCTCTCTCAAATAAATAAATAAAATCTTTTTTTTTAAAGATCTTATTTATTTATTTGATAGAGAGAAACACAGCGAGAGAGGGAACACAAGCAGGGGGAGTGGGAGAGGGAGAAGCAAAGCAGGCTCCCCACTGAGCAGGGATCCCGATGTGGGGCTTGATCCCAGGACCCTGGGATTCTGACCTGAGCTGAAGGCAGACACTTAATGACTGAGCCACCCAGGCATCCCTAAATAAATAAAATCTTATAAAAAAAAAAAAGGGCTCATAGATATAGAGAACAGACTGGTGATTGCCAGAGGCGGGGAAGGTGGTGGTGGTTGGGAGAAATGGATGAAGGGCATCAAAATGTACAAACTTCCAATTATCAAATAAATAAGTCATGGGATATAATGTACAGCATGCTGATTATAGTTAATAATACTGTATTGCGTATTTGAAAGTTGCTGAGAGAGTAAATTTAAGTTCTCATCACAAGAAAAAGAAATTATTTTTTGTGACTATGTAAGGTGACAAATGTTAACTAGACATATTGTGTGATCATTTCACAATGTATACAAATATCAAATCATTACATTGTACACCTGAAACTAATATAAAGTTTTATTTCAATTATACCTTAGTTTTTAATTAAAAATTTAAATTGTATGCTAATTATACTTCAATAAAAATTATTATTGTATCTTTTTAGAGAGAGGGAAAGAGCATGAGCCAGGGTGGGAGGGGGGCAGAAGGAAGAGAGAGAATCTTTTTTTTTTTCTTTTTTTAAGATTTTATTTATTTATTTGACTGAGAGAGAGAGCATAAGCAGGGGAGTGGCAGGCAGAGGGAGAGGGAGAAGTAGGCTCCCCGCTGAGCAGGGAGCCCAATGCAGGGCTCAATCCCAGGAGCCTGGGATCATGACCTGAGCCAAAGGCAGGTGCTTAACCAGCTGAGCCACCCAGGAGCCCCAGAGAGAGTGAATCTTAAGTAGGCTCCATGCAAGGCTCAATCTCACGACCCTGAGGTCATGACCTGAGCCAAAATCAAGAGTCAGTTGCTTAACTGACTGAGTCACCCAGGCACCCCCAATACAAATTATTATTATTATTATTATTTTTAATTTTATTTATTTATTTGAGAGAGAGAGAGAGAATGAGAGAGAGCACATGAGAGGGGGGAGGGTCAGAGGGAGAAGCAGACTCCCTGCCGAGCAGGGAGCCCGATGCGGGACTCGATCCCGGGACTCCAGGATCATGACCTGAGCCGAAGGCAGTCGCTTAACCAACTGAGCCACCCAGGCGCCCCAAATTATTATTATTTTTAAAAAAATATATTTATTTATTTGAGAGAGAGAGAGCACAGAGGGAGAGGTAGAGGGAGAGAAAGAATTTTCAGCAGACTCCCCACTGAGCATGGAGCCCTACACAGGGCTCGATCTCATGACCCTGAGCCGAAATCAAGAGTCAGGCACTTAACTGACTGAACCACCCAGGCACACCCCCCATAAAAATTATTTTTAAAAATTTTAATATGCAAACTTTATAATGTTTTAATTCTAATTACTCTAATTACTAATTAAAATGTTATTTTTCTTTTTTAAAAAATATTTTATTTATTTATTTACTTATTTATTTATTTACTTATTTATTTATTTGAGAGAGAGAGCAGGGGGTGGGCAGAGGGAGAAGCAAACTCCCCACTGAGAAAGGAGCCTGATGCGCACGGCTCAATCCCAGGACCCTGGGAACATGACCTGAGCCAAAGGCTTAACCAACTGAGTCACCCAGGCACCCTTAAATGTTATTTTTCTTAACCTTCTGGCTCTACCTTTTTTTTTTTAACTTCACTGTGTTGGATACCTCTATGCCTCATTACAGATCCTCTCAGCCTTACCTCTCTTTATATAGCCAGCTCTGTGGTGAACATCTCTGTGGGCACTCACCAGGTCTACACAGGTAGAATCTGATAATGCCTAGCCTCAGACTTGCCCTGTGCATCTCCTGCCTTCTATCCTGAGGCATCTATGTTCATGTCAATGCATAGAAGAGCACTGGGAAACCATGGTGCACCTAGAAAATATAAGGAGTTAACACACCTTGAGGTGAGCCTTTGACCAAGGGAAAGGAGAGAATCAATGGATACACTCATCCCACTTACTCTCGCTGGGAACATCCGCCAGGATGAGTAGTCTTGATATGTGCTTCATATGGTTTCTCAAATGATCCTGAGTGATGGAGCAACCAGACCTTTGTAGCAGTGGCCAAATTAATCATGTATCCTTGAATGAGCACTCCTGCCCTCCATCATTCCTCCATCCCTCACTCTTGTTCCCTGGCATCACACACAGACCAATAAAATCCTTGCACTTAAACTTCTATCTCAGACTCTGCCTTCTGAGGAATCCCTGCTAAGCTACCCACCTATCAGACATTATTATTACTACTTTATTCAGCAAACTACTTTCTTTTTTTTAATTTTATTTTTTTTAATTTTTTTAAAGATTTTATTTATTTATTTGACAGATAGAGACACAGCGAGAGAGGGAACACAAGCAGGGAGAGTGGGAGAGGGAGAAGCAGGCTTCCCGCGGAGCAAGGAGCCCAATGCGGGGCTTGATCCCAGGACCCCGGGATCATGACCTGAGCCGAAGGCAGACGCTTAATGACTGAGCCACCCAGGCACCCCAGCAAACTACTTTCTTATGACTCCTTTTTTCATCTCAGATTTTTCATTTTTCTTCATTTTAGTGTTTAGAAATTCTTTTAGACAGGGTTTGTTGGAGGTAAATTTCTCTTTTGTGATCTCTCTTTCTCTCAAAATGTTTTATTTTTCTCTTGTTGAAAGAAAATTTCACTAGATATGCAATCTCTAGGTTCACAGCAATTTGTTGTTGTTTTTTCCTTAACCTTTCAGGTCTGTGGATATATTATACCACGGTCTTCCAGGCTTTTTCTATTGAGCCAATTTTCTTTCATTTGTAGAGAATGTGTTTCTTCTTAGATCTTCTCTTTGGCTTTGATATTCTGTAGTACAACTATGATGCTAAGTGTAGATTTATTTTTACTTTTCTGTTTGAGATTCCTTGGGCTTTCTGATTCTAGAGATTTGTATCCTTCATCAATTCTGAAGAATTCTCAGCCATTAACTCTTTCAAATATTGTCTTTTCTCTTTTCTCTATATTATCTCCTTCTCAAACTCTGTTGGATCTTCTGTTTTAACTTTGTTCTCCATGTGTTTCAACCTTTCATATTTTCCATTGATGCTACATTCTGGGTAATTACTTCAGATTACTCTCGTAATTCATGATGGGCCCCCCTCAGCCATGTCTGCTCTGTTGTGTAATTTTTTCCCCTAGGTATTTCATTTCAATTTTTATATTCTTCATTTTTAGAAGCTCTATTTTGGTTCTTTTCAAGTCTGCCTAGTCAATTTTGGTAGCCTTTGCTCTTTACTCATGATTTTAATTGCCATTTTTATTTTTTAAAACATATTATGGATTCATTTACATTGTGTTCAGTGATCCTTGTTTTGAGATGTTTGTGGGTCTGATTCTGTTCATTGCAGTTTCTGTTTGTTTCCTAATGTGTATTTTAAAATAGCTTTATTAAGGTCTATGTTACAAATCATAAAATTGACCCTATTCAAGTGTTTAATAATTTTTTGTAAATTTATCGAGTGGTACAGACATCGCCATAAATCAATTTTAGAACATTTTCATCACCTTAATAAGATCCTTTTAGGTTCATTAATAGTTCATCCTCATTATTCCTCCCAGCCCCCAGCAACTGCTCTTCTACACTCTGTTTCTACCCATTTGTCTTTTCTAGACTTTTCATATAAGTGGAATCATATAACATGTGGTCTGTGCCTGGCTTCATTCACTTAACATAATGTTTTTGAAGTTCATCCATGGCATGTGGCATAGTTTGTTCCTTTTTACTGCTGAATTT